GGCTGAGGAAGCACAGCAGGCCACGAGGGCCGCATCAACGGGCTTTCTGCCGGCACCGCCACACCTCCCAGAGCCAGACGGGCGCGGCGTTAGACACAGACCTGGAGGACAGCGGCCTGGCCGGGAGGGACAAGTCGGGCACGGCGTAGGAAGTGAGCCCGGTGGGCACGGCCCTGGCTTCACCAGAACCCGCTCTGGGTCCCTGGGGTGGGCGGCTCTGGCTGTGCCCGCCTGACCACAGACACCAGGGATGGCGCTCGGCGCTGCAGGGCCATGCTCCGCGGGGACCCACAGGGCGCCCCGAGGTGCAGCCGGAGGGCACTGTCCGTTCCTGTGCCAGGGGTCACGGTGCTGTCAGCAACGGCCCAGATGGGGCAGGGCTTCTGTGCACACGGGCACCCGAGCGCTGACTGCACGCACAGCCCGGCCATCCGCTCTGCGGGAAGGGGCTCCACGCCCGCCACGCCCACCTGCTGGATGCTCTGCACGGCGGAGCTGGTCTCATCGCCCGCGCTGCCTGTGAACTCGGGCTCCTTCTCTGAGTACTCGCTGAAGGTGGCACCCTCGGGCCCCGATGCGCCAGCGTCCTCCTCCGGCTTCTGCCTCCGCTTGTGGCCGCGCTTGGCCGTCTTTGTGTGCTTCCCTTCCGCCAGCTCCTCCTGCTCCAGGCTCAGCTCAGGCTGCGGGGAGACCGGCCTCAGCCAGCTCAGTCACACTGGTGCTCAAGTGCAGACATCTCTGGGGACCGTCGGCCGGGCCCGGCCGGGCATTGAGCTCAGTGGTGTCTGCCTCGCCACCGCAAGGTCCCGAGCTTGAGCCTCTGTTTTCTGATGGTACTGGGGACTGAATGTAGGGCCTTCCTGCTGAGCTACAGCCCCAGCCCTTTTAAAATTCTGAGACAGGGTCTCACCATGTCATAAACTGTCCGGTCTGGGCTCAAACTTGTGATTCCTCCTGCCTTAGCCTTCCCGAGGTCTGGGATGAAAATGAGTTTGTTTGTTTGGTTCTGGGGATCGAACTCGGGACCCTGAACTTGTGAGGCAGGCAGCAGAACCACTGAGCTGAATCCCTGGCCCAAAAAGTAGTTTTTAAGGCCCCGGGGAAAAGGGAAATATTTCTGCCCTGGGACCCAGGAAAATGCTTTCAAATCTAAGCTTTCTTCCCCCAAGGCTGAAACTAATTCATGAGAAAGCAGGTTTGGATCTCAGTGGGTTTGACCACAGATACCACACAGACATCTCCTTTTGGGACAACAGACTGGGGCCTGGCAGTGCTGCCCTATGCTTTCTTGCGGTGTCCAGCGCAGATGCTGCGGCCAAGTCCTCCAACCCAGATCAGCACAAGGCTGGGCTTCCGGGCTGCACAGAGGCCAGGGGCAGGGTGACACTGGGGCGCCCTGCTGGCCCCACGGCCTGGCCTCCAGGGACAGTGGACACCAGCCTTCTGCCCTCTGCAGAAATGGCTCGTGGGTCTGTGGGCTGGGCCTGGACATCCGCACGCTTGCTTGTGGACTGAGTGGCCCAGCTGCACAAAGGACCCCACTCCCGAGAGCACAGCCGTGTGCTCTGTACTGAAAAAGACCTTCGCACGGGGGAGGGGACGAGGGTGGGGGAAGCAGCAGGGGCGAGGAGACCAGATGCAGCTCCAGCACCCTGGAACTGCGGACGGGGAGAACCAGGGCTGCTGCGGCCCAGCCGGAGGCTTCTGATCCAGCCGCACTGGGCCGAGCTTCCAGGGGAACCCCCAGGCGCAGC